ATATTTCTAAGATATAGTATAAGATATTACTATATATAACTGTATATAACACGATATTATAAATACAACTTTTTTAATTTTATATATTATAAAATTTTATAATGTGATTAATTTTACTGTATATAATTAAATCTAAAAAAAAATAAAAAACAAATTTAAAAATAAATAATTTTAAGAAATTTTTAGTTTTTTCTTTAATAAAATTTAAATTAAAACTTATTTAAACTGTTAAATATAATTAAAAATGGCTAAAAATAATTTGCTAAAATAAAACCATTATTAAAACTTTAAATTAGTAAGATAATGCAAAATTCCAACTCTGTATGTTTTGTTTTTAAAAATAAAGGCCAAATAAGTATAAATTTAAGAATAAGATTTTCTGCGAGACTTTAATACACAATGTGAAATAATATGACAGAAACCAGAATTGAAAAATTTGGCAAACAATAATATAAAGAAAATATACACAATGACCAATTTATTCTAAATGAATCTTAAACGAACGAAAAAGCATAAAATGATTTAACTTTCGAACGTGACATCTTTTTACCTTTATAGTTAGACCTTAAAAGTTATCGAGTCACGCAAAATTAGGGCCCGTGAAAAAATTACGTATCATGAGATATAATAAGTGTTATCGTCATCGATTGTGTCGTTATCGTTATACGTACTGTATAGCAGCATCATAGATGATTAAAAATTGATTAATTAAAATTATATATAATTATTAAAATTAACGATTAACATACGATATCGATATATACAGTATAAAACATAAATGTATCTATAACATATATAAAACAGGTACAAACGGCAATTTCATGTGCTTGACAATACGACGTATGATTGGAGAATAAAAATAGTCAAAATAGAAAGAGTATATATATTTATAAATAAATAACCGAATGGTTATCGTTATTGTAAAAAAAAATTCAGCAAATTTGTTTTAGCTAATGGCAATTTTTTTGTACGTACAGTATTACAGTGATTAGATTAGATGTACATTGAATAGCTAATCACGACAATCACACGGATGAGCCCTAAATTGGATGGATACTAAAGAAGTTAGTTTCTGCAAATATATAAATTTATAAAGACAGAAAGACAATGCGTTTTCAATTGCAGACGCAGTCGGTAAATGCACTTCTGAGGGTAGAATCAGGAAGTGTATCACTTCTGTTAAATCCACAGTCCATGATTAGACGTTGTTTAATAAGACTGGAAGTAACAGATATCTGAAACGGGAATTTATTAATGATGTACCTATTTTACATGCTTGTGCTCATTTCTTTGTTCTCCTGTCACACACAAAGAAACTCAATTCGTTGAGGATATTGTTCGATTCGCAAGTAATTTGCTTGTCAAAGATCTAGGTCGTTACATCTATTTTCTACCAATTCTATAGGTTATTTTATTATTATTATTTTGCACTATATATTTTCTTTACGATTTTCCAATACTTTTTTGATCACAAAGTCGATGATATTCTTGCAGGGCTATAATTGTATACCAATTATGAATTATTCCACTAAAATCTATTATACTTGCATGATATTATGATGTCAATTGCAGAAATGTTGTCTTTGAATCTAAAGTTAGGGCTGAGAATACAATTTTCTATTTAACAATTTCCCATCGAATTTATTAGGCAAAAAATAATGATATTATAGAGTTTATTTTACAATAGATGTATAGAGATGTATAGATGTTAACAGAAGACTTTACGTACGTACAAGATGCATGATTACTCAATGACTCAAATTTCCCTTTATGGGTCGCATATGTCCAGAATCTTTTTTCAAAGATTGAATTTTTGTACTCCCGCCCCGAAAGGACGCAATAAATATGTTTCCTTAGACGGGATTAGCCAAGAATATATCTCCGACTTGTACTATGACAATTTGTACAAAAAAGATACCCCCTAAATTTGGTCCTAATTTGTCAATATTTTTAGATTACAGGTGATACTATAAGTGTAAGTGAATTATATATAAATAGACCTCATCGTAAGTGTCACCCGTTCATGATGTTCAAAAAAAGATATTATTTATATTTTTATCTCTAATGTACTATTCTTAACTAAATTTTAAGCAAATTCGTACTTTTTGTTCCTCTTGGATACCTACCCTATCAAGTTTTATTATAGTTTGTGGTAAAAAAAGAACAAACTTTCACAAACGCGTCTATCAAATTTCGGCCTCGAGCTTCTTGAAAAAAATTTTTTTTCCTATTATCGTTTTTTTCTGAAATTTTTTTTTAAATGTAAGTAATTTTAAGAAAATTATTGTCTTTGGTCTGTTTTTCCTTTTTTTTTTTTTCTTCTACGACTTTTCTAAAAAAAAAAAAAAAAAATAATAAAAAAATAAAAAAATACAAACAAACGAATTTTGAAATCCTGAATTCGACTTTGCATTCGAATGTTGGCCTTATATGATTTTAATTAATTTAAAAATAATGTTAAAATTATCATTTTTCTCTTTTTTTTTATTTTTTTCCAGTTAAAAAAAAAAATCAAAAAATCATGGGTCGCAAGAAGATTCAAATAAAACCCATTAAAGACGAAAGAAACCGTCAAGTAAGTATATAATCATAGTGAATACGGAATTTTCGTCAATTATTGCCAATTATACATCGTTTAATCAAATTCATTATGTTTTTATTAAATGAAAATTTTACCTTAATTGTATCATTATATCAATTATATCAGGTGACTTTTTTGAAGCGCAAGTATGGACTTATGAAGAAAGCTTACGAACTCAGTGTTTTGTGTGATTGCGAAATCGCGTTGATTATTTTCAATTCAAACAACAAGCTTGTTCAATACGCGAGCACGGATATTGATAAAATTTTATTGAAATACACGGAGGTATATTTTCGTGCAACTTGCTGCGCTCCTTAAGATTGTAATTTATCGTAATTTATTTATCGTGATTTATTGTTAAACTGTTATAAATTTTTGTTATAATAGTATAATGAACCTCATGAAAGTAAAGGCAACCACGATGTAAGAATTTTTTTCTCATATTATTATAATAGCGGTAATAACAGTACAATAATAGCTCGTTATTCTTACAAATTTTTTTTTTTTCTTTTTAGTTTGCCAATACTACAGAGGACGATGATAATCCTCCGCCAGGATTTGATACTACCAACGATCACAAGGTATTGTTTCTTATAAAATAGATAACTCATGCTAATATGACTAATTTTAAATAATTTAACACATAATTATATGTTTATAATAATAGCGATTCGGTATGCCATCTCCACATCAAACTTACCAAGCAGCGCAAGTTCCTGGCCCGTATTCTATGGGTAATTACGCAATGTTCACGCAGTCTCAGCATCAACAATTCATGGTAAGAAAATTTGTCATGATTAATATATATGTATATATATTTTATTCAATAAATTTTTTTAATTTTTGTTAATTTATATAGACCCAACAGTTTTATCCTCAAATTAATCAACAATCTATGGATGCTATGTCTCTGCCGATGACTAATGTAACCCTTCAAGTGCCTGTTAGCGTCGCACCTAGTGTGGCTGTTAATGTACCTACAAGCATGTCATCGCCTCAGCTGCCAGATTCTAACGCGTCAAGTCTAACCATGTCACCAACTCCATCCCAAATTGAGGCTTCAATTAATGGTGACATCTTATCTCCTTCACTCTTAGCTTCATCTCCAAAGAAACCAAAACTTCGTGTCCATATTCCTGAAACAAACGAAAAACAGGGCGTTCCTACAGCTCAACAGACGGTTCAAGCTGATGTATCACCAAATCAAGATGAAATACCTTCCGATCCGCAGCAATCACTAACATTACAACCTGTAAGCTCTTTATATAATAGTAGAATTTTTATCAAAAAAATATATATATATATCAAGATTAGGATTATTGGGCGCAAGTAAAAATTTTGGTGGCATGCCACTAGGATGCCATTAATTTATATAGTAATTTGATAAAATTTTTTTGCGTCAACAATCCTAATCAAGATATCATTGTCCCTTACACTGTCTTATGGGTAAATTGTCATGATTTGATCTGTGATCAAGCCATTAATTATATTGGATCAAAGATCGTTGAGGGATATGTCATTTATGTTTTTTTTTACCTTATATATATTTATTGACCATATATTTGTTTACAATTTTAAGTTGCAGACATCTCGTCCTACTCCGACAACTGATACGGGACCAAATTCTGGCTTGACATCACAATTCTCTCACAGTTTGCCGTCGCCGTCAACATTCTTCTCAGAATTTTACAAAACAGCTGAACTACCTAGTCCGATTACTTTTAGCAGTACACCTACTAGCGCCAATCCTGGAGCATTTCATTGGCCAATTCCTCGGAATTATCAACATCAACCTTCACCATTGGCTAAACATGAATCGAATTCTAATTTACCAAAAAACCGACCTATACAGACGGATGAAGAAGAAAATAATGAGCCTGAAAGGAAAAAGATGAAACAATAGAGTAATTCAACTTAATTCAATTAATTCAATTAATTCAATTTAATTCTCAAGTAATTCAATTAATTCAAAGGATGAAATATAGTATAGGATAAGTGCCAACCTTAATCAATAATCAATTGAAATAAATAATCAATTGATTCATCTATACTATATTTTATCCACTAAAAAGATTGGACATTGACTTTTAATATCGTTAAACAAAATCGGTCGAAAAAGAGTTGGGACTTTGAACTATGGTTATAAACAATTTTTTTTCTCTTTTTTTTTCTTCTTTTTATTTGGGGGGTTTGGTTACGTTGGGTTAACGTGTGGGTTAACGTGGCGGGTCAAGGACTTCTTTTTTTTTTTTCTTTTTTTTTTTTTTTTTTTTTTTTTTTTAAAAAAAAAAAAACCAATTATATTCTTAAAATTTTTTCTCTATTATATATATACGTATATATATAAACCTTTCACCTTTACATCGCTTTTACATCCATCTGTATTATAATGAATCCCTTTCTTTTATAATATACTTTTTTTTATGTCATGTGTCATATTTCTATGTTTTTATTTTTTTTTCTTTTGCGTCAGGGTTAAATTAATCAAAATTTATCAATTTATCCAATAATAAGCAATTTTATGTAATTAGTATAACCGATACGTCGATTTAAAATCGGCTCGGTAGCAATACCCCTGTCGATTTAATTCGAAACCCTAAAACCGTAACAAACCGTAACATAATTATATTTTTCTCTGACGGACATTTATAACTAGTTTTTTAAGTTACTAGGTAAAAAAAAAATATTTTTATTTTTTTAATTAAAAAAAATAAAAAAAAAAATTTTTTTTTTTTTTTTTTTTTTTTTTTCGTGCATTAAGTTAATCTTAACGTTAAATGATGGGAATTTTTTTATTGTCATAAGTGAACGGATTTAGATCTACTGTACTTTAAAAATATTCACATGAATTTTTTTAAGTTTTTTAATGACGTAAAAGACTTGCCAAGGCCCGCATATGCCACTTAACTAAATTTATATCCGTTCATTGACCAGTATAAAGCAAAGTTTTTTTAATGTTAAAAGTATGTTAAAAGTGATTACCAATTACGTACTAATTTATTTATAATTAAAAATCACGTGGCAAATAGAAGAGATTGCGCTGCTTAAAACTCACCCATTGATTAGCCAAATAAGAATTACACAATTTACAAGAAAATGAATGATAAAACTGCATACGTAGTAAAAAAAACCATATTTGAGGAACAAATATACATATGTTTGAAATTATTTGAAACATAAATTGTCGGAAACAACTTCCGACATCACCATTTGCATCTTCATTCGGGGGTTTCAAATAGTAACATTTCCGAATATACGACATACATATGACGTACATACAGACGTACGTACAGACGTACGTACTGTACGTTACTCACATATCAGATACGTATCAGATATCCAATATTGTCGGAATTATTATCATTATTTGGGATTTGCCTACACTATATTGCTATATTACTACTGTACTACGTATTATGATATTATGTACACTAATACTACTATGTACTAGTATGTATACTACTATGTACTAGTATGTATACTAGTATGTACTAGTATGTATACTACTATGTATACTACTATGTACACTAGTATGTACACTAGTATGTACAATAGTATGTATAATAATATGTATACTATATAATATGTACAATAGTATGTACAATAGTATGTACAATAGTATAGCAGGGAAAGTAACTTCTAATTGTTTGGAAAATGAAAAGAGCTTGCTGCGCAAAGATGCTTTCGGGGATAATATTCCTATTCAAAAATCATATTAGGGTATAGTATCACAATAATTTAACCAAAATAGTAGTTATAGATATTTCACTAATCCATAAGAATAATACATGTGCAGTTCCAGACTCCGGAATTGACTAATATAAAGGGCCCGTCAAGTCTCATGTTCAAAAAATCATTTTCAAGCTTACGAATACGAAATGTCTGATATTTTATCTACACCACAAACTACCCAACTTGAAGCTATTCCTGTCGATCTAACTCCTTTGGATATTCCAGATTATAAAAATATTTGTGCTTTCACGATTGATAATGTATGTACTCCTGAAGAATGTGACGCTCTAATCAAACTTTCTGAAACAGACGGTTATGAACCAGCATTAGTAAATATTGGTGGGGGTCAACAACAACTAGTGACTGATGTACGTAATAGTTCACGTTACATTAGGGATGATGTTAAACTTGCTTCTGATTTATGGTCACGAATATCAAAATTTGTACCGGCTACTTGGACAAAAGAATCATTTCCTGTTGTTGGGTTAAATGAAAGATTAAGGTTTTTAAGATATGATCCTGGAGAAAGTTTTAAACCACATCAAGATGGACCTTATCAACGCCCGGATGGATCAGAAACAACTTATGTTACTATACAATTATATTTAAATGAAGAAGGATTAGAAGGTGGTGAAACTTCATTTTTAAACTTTACAGGGAAAAAAGTAAAAGTTGCTCCGAAAACTGGAATGGTACTAGTTTTTGAACATCTCTTGTTTCACGAAGGTTCCGAAGTCCTGAAAGGAAGAAAATATGTTATAAGAACTGACGTCTTATATAAAACTGATAAATATCGTAAAATCAAATAAATTTATATAAATTATATATAGCTCGAGATTAAATTGTCATATTTATTTTTATCACTTTTTTAAATGTAACTTAACCGTTTATCGTTAAATAATAATTGATATAAAGATAATTGTTTGTTTACTTCATTAAAAACTTGTATAGAGTAAGTAAGGTATGTAGGTACGTGCATGCAGAAGTAAACATATATATACATGATATATATACTGTGTACATGATATATATATGATATATATATACATGATATATATATACATGATATATATATGATATATATATACATGGATATTACTTATGTATGTACCGTATGTACCGTATGTACCTAGGTCAAGTAACCTTGAATAAACCAGATCCAGCGCCCAAGGGTTTGTCTACTAACCTGATTTGTTGATTGTTCGTTGATTTCATCAGTTCACTATGACTTGATGATCTACAACCCTATATTATTTATTGATATCCAAAATCAATAAAGTTTATAGGACACATTGTTGTTCATTCAATGTCTATCATTGATTCCATATCCGATTTTGGATCTTTCCCTCGTGTATCTTTTTTACCCTCAGGTCGATGCGTACTTGTATTACAATTTTTAAAGGCATGACCGATGATGGTGGCTGTGCCTTTGTTTAAATTACCGCCAAAAGAAAGGATGTGGATGTACTGTACTAATCCTGTAATCACACCATAATGACCATAGTGATTTTAACACTACCATAGTGCTATATAAGCTTAATGAAACTTTGTTCTGATAACCTTAGCATTTATTATACTACATTATACCATATTATCGTCATATTACATTAAACTACATTATATACTACATTATCCCATTATAACTACATTATACTACATTATGCTATATTCTGCTACATTATGCTACATTATGCTACATTATACTACATTATACTAGCATGTTTTAATACGAATTTCCTACTACGTAGATGTTTATCTTGGAAAAAAATGATAATAATAAAATAATGATATACGTACGTACATACGTATAATACGTACCCCAACATTTTTTTTTTTTTTTTAACATTTTACATTTTAACTATGTACTAGGCATTATGCATTATTTACATTATTTATCAAATTATTCATTAAATTTACATACCGGTGTCCACCGCCATGGGTGTGATTTACTTAGTAACACCCAAAAAAATTCTAGCCTCCGTAAAAATTGGGAATTACAAAGTATTTACTATAAAAGGTTTAGCTTAAAAAATTTTGGTTTTTTTATGGAGTCCCTTGTGTTTAAAAACCTAGTAAACTCTCTATTACTAAGGCTCTTAACGTTTTATTTTCTCTATTACTAATACTCTTAACAATACTCTTAACATTTTATTTTTTGGTGAATTATTATTATTATTATTATTATTTTCTTAGAGTATACAATTAAATATCAATTTATTGTATAATAATCCTTTAAGCTTTTTTTCATTGTTATTTCGAGATATTATCCTCGATTAGATAGTTCAAAAATTCCATTTTTTTTTGAGGTGTTGCGTAATTGCATATATTTAAAACCCATGAAATGCGACGTAACAGTAATAACTCTCACAGTACAGCTGTTGTTTCTACACCTGTTAGTGTTTATACAACAAGTGGTCTAAAGTTTTCTCAATTCCCTACCTCGAGGAAGAATTCAAATAATAGTGTTCAATTTTCTGACAAAGATATGGCTCCTCCTGTCTTGTCGAGTATAAATCAACCCGTTTCTGAAATAAAACAAAATATGGCTAGGCGTTTTAGTTGGAGAGTTGGTCCTAAAATTCCTAAATTTATAAGATCCTCTTCAAGTTCTTCATCAAAATCTAGGATATCGGTATCAACATTAAATAATGATAATTATTTAATTAATCAATCTGATTCCTCGGGTAAATTTTCTTCATCCCCTACTAAACTTTCATCTGAATTACTTCCACAAAATGGTCGAACAAGCAATGTTTCTGACTTAACGAAATCATCGAATGAAGCTCAAGATACTTGTTCAATTACGGAACATTGGGAGTCAATTAATCAAATCGATTATAAGAATATCTTGGATGAAAATTCTGGAATAAATGGAGAGAATAATCCTATATCGAACAAAATCATTGGTGGTGCTCCATTATTAATCTCTAATATTGGAAAAACGTCGTCTTCAACTACAAAAACTCAAAAAAAGAATGTTAGAGCTGGATCAAAATCTTTACCTAAAAATATCTTTCGTTTTCTTAAGAAAGATAAACCTCCAGAAATTGTTACTACCCCTTCACTTTCTCCTCCTTCTGTTAGTCAATTTTCTTATGTTTCTCCTCCACTTACCATCCCCAAAAAAACTAGAAAAAAAAGAGATTCTCGTCCAAAAAGCGGTAGTTTTGCTTATACTAAACAAACTTTAGCCAACGTTCTATTACGTAGAGTACGCAATAAGTCCTCTCCTGAATCAACTGCCAATGATGCATTAACTTATACAAGCTTTCCGGATCCTGATCCGGAAGATTATGTTAACATTTATCCTTGGGATTTACCTGACTCAATATCGGCAACTGAAGCTGCTGGTGGTGTATTGCAGATGATTGAATATGATGGGATATATATAAATGGTGTGCGAGTTAATTGAATATGATGGGATATATATAAATGGTGTGCGAGTGAATTAAATTCGTACTATAGATTCATAATGATAAGCTGTAGCTGTAGGGTTACGGGATTTGTAAAATAGACTTTTTTTGGTTAGTGGGTTGGTTCTGTTTTTGTACTACCTCATGTTCTTTTGTATTATATTTTTTTTTTTTCCCTTGTTCTTTTTTTTTTTTTTTATTACAAATGATATTTTGTAAAAAGAAAAGATAATTTTGTTGCAATGAGCAAGTCATGAAGTTTTTATATAGTTATGTAGTATACATTTCATAGCACTGCTAGTTTGTTATTATTATTATTACGTACTATAAAATAATTTGATTTATTTCGTGCTTTATATATAAGCGAATTGTATATGCTTTAAAAAAAAAAAAAAAAAAAACTCATACTTAAAATTTAAAAAATTTCTCTTTTTGGTTTCAAAAAATAAAAA